CATTTATTTTATGCATTCAAAAGTACAATCCTGAGAAGGGTTGACCGGATCACCCGAGACAACCACAACACAGGATTCCCCAAACTAGACACTGCTGCGTTCTAGAGATTGCTCTCATGGAGCAGATATTCCTGGGGTCTTAGGTTCTGAGCTGCAGGGCGCCTCGGGGGCCATCAGGACCAGCCTTCTCACTTGGCAGGTAAGGTCACTGAGGCCCAGAGAACTTAAGTGACTTGTCTAAGGTCACATAGGGATGAAGGAGCAGAGTCGGGATTGAACCCGGGACCTCGGCTTCCAAATCCAGCCACCTTTACTGATTTATCCGGGGGCCTGTCAATCAGACTGCTCCGATAACCCGACTTTCTTGTGTCCTCACAGGTCGCCATTTTTACTATTTTTAATGGCAGACCTGCAGGACTTTAAGATGCCTTCTGAAGCATCATACGAAAGAAAGAATTCCCATTCTTGTTGACTTCTCTCTCTTATTCAGATTCTTATTCAGACAACGTGGCACATAGACAGAAGGCCAGGCTTCCTGTCATATCGGGATCATAGGTTTGGAGTGGGAAAGGACCTTAGAGACTATTGAGCCCAACCCCCTTATTTTACAGATGAGTAAACTGAGGCCCAGAGAGACTAAGTGACTTGCACAAGGGGACACACAGACGGTAAGAGCTGGATTCAGGTCCTGCTCTTAATCTATACTAGCTGGGTGACTCTGGGCTTAGTGTAGTGCCCAGCATTCAGTAAGTGCTTAATAATTTTTTTTCATCTGTTTCATTCATGAACAAGTTGTTTGGCCTCTTTGAGCCCCCAGGTAACTAATTCCTCAGACTAAATTATAGAGCACTTGTCCGTTTACATTGGTGGATGACATTTCCACACCAGCAGTCCCAACTCAGAGGTCTGGGCCAAAAACTAAAAACTAACCAGAAGGAACCATCTCAACCCTGCTGGCCGCCTGGTAGCTTTCTTTTCTTTTCCTTTTTTTTTTTTTTAATCCAAAGAAAGCATAATTAGAGAGTAGGTCTGCTGATGACAAAAACTTACCTCTGTCCATCCCTCAGCATGTGGCCACTCACTTGAAGGAGGTTCACTGTCTGCTCATTTCCAGCCTCCATCACAGACCAGGCGGGAGACGCACAGGTCCGTGCAGGAAGCTGGGGCTTTCAGTGCAGGATTTTGTTATAGACCGTTTATGAGGGAGGTGTGACTTTAGGCAAGTCACTGAACTCTCTGGGACTCAGTTTTCTCCTCTAAGTGTCCTCTCAGCTGCGATCTGTGACCCCATGATTCTAAGTCACCTCCCCTTGGTAAGGAGGCTGGTGATTGCCTGTCCATAGTACCAGCAGAGGGCAGCAGTGACCAGGGGAAAGCCTCCAAGCCCTGTAGCTGGGAGCTGGCCTGGCCGCCTTGAGTTGCTTGGCCTGGCTAGGCATGATGCCAGCCCAAGGAAGCAGACCCTTCGAGTTGAGGGCCCCTGGGAGAACTGTCACCCCTTAGAGGTGCCTTGGTTGCGATGTCTTTACTGCCAGTGCTCCCTCCCCAGCTAGAACCTCTCATGGAGAATACAGGACATCCAGCCAGCCAGCACCCCTCTGAGGACAGAGCCCTGTTCTAGGCACTGTTGGGGGGAGGAAGGAGAAAGGGCACAAAACAAAGGAAAGAATAAATAGTAGCTGACATTTCTATAGTCTTTAAGATTTGCAAAGTACTTTTATATGTTATCTGAGCTTTTCACAGCTGTCCTCTAATGGAGGTCTTATCCCCATTTTACAGATGAGGAAACTGAGCTTTTGTTCCAATGTCTTTCCCATGGTCGCACAGCTAATAAGTGCAGACATGCAGGATTCAAACCCAGGTTCTCTAAGGACAGAGACTTTTTCTTTTTTTGTCTTTAGATCCAAGCATTTATTGAGTACTTATTATGTGCCAGTAACTCTGCTAAGCTCTGGGGATAAAAGAAAAGGGCAAATAGTTCCTGCCCTCAGGGAAGATACATTCTAATTGATTCATAGCAGGTGCTTAATTAAGGCCTGTCGATTGATTTCATCCAAACCCCTCGATGTGTGACCACATCACCCTCTCTGCTCAGAGCCCTTAATCAGCTCCCCACTGTGAGCCTGGCATTAAATACCTCCAGTCTAACTACAGCATTCCTCCAAAAGCTACTGTGTAGAACTTTCAGCCTAACTTGGTGAGGTAGGCAAGGCAAGTCTTATTATAACCATTTTACAGATGAGGGGTCAAGTGACCTGCCGTGTTGATAGAAGTGTCCAAGGTGGAGTTTGAAACCAGGTTTTGCTGATTCAACGCCAGGCCTTTTTTTTTGTGGGGGGGGGGAGTTTGTTAGGTAATGGGTTAAGTGACTTGCCCAGAGTCACACAGCTAGTAAGTGTTATGTGTCTGAGGCCGGATTTGAACTCAGGTCTTCCTGAATCCAGGGCCAGTGCTCTATCCACTGTGCCACCATGCTGCTCCTAGGTCTTTTTTCCCACAGCACGATGCTGCCTGCCTGTGAGGAGCTTTCAAGCCAACAGAGAAAGTGCTTGGGAGGATGGCTTTGGACCTGGCCGTAAGCCAAAGAACAATGAGAAGAAAGCCTCATTTATCCAGAATCCCAATGTTCTGATCTTTAGTTAAAGAAGCAAACCCATTCATGTGTGGTGGACTGGTTGGAGAGTCAGGCTTGGAGTCTGGAAGACCTGGGTTCAAATCCTACCTCAGACTTAATATTGGCTGTATCTCCCTGGGCAAGACACTGCAGCGCTCAGGACTTCCAGACAATTCTCTAGGACTCTAATTGCGGATGAGTTGCCAACCTGCCTGTGTGCAGGGGGTTTCCATACCTAGAAGTTCCCTGCCCATTGCAATCAAATATAGGATCATGGATGCAGAACAGGAAGGGACCTCAAAGGCTACCTAACTGAGCCCTTTATTTTATAGATGGGGAAACTGAGACTCAGAGAGGAAATGAAAACCCCCCTGAGGAAACAAGTTGATGGGGCAACAGCATGGCGTAGTAGAAAGAATATTGGTTCAGGGTCAGAGGACCTGGGCTCAAATCCTGCCTTTGGAAAGTCATTTACCCCAATGGGCCTCAGTTTCCTCACCTGTCAAATGAAGAGGATAGACTAAATGCCTTATAAGGTCTCTTCTTCATATCTTTCTATCTCTTCTTCATATCTTTCTTCATATCTCCTATGATATTTGGCAATAATAACAATAGCTAACATTTATGATGTATTTTAAGGTTTATAAAGCACTTTACATATACATTATCTCTTTGACGCAGCTCAGGAGAGCAGCTTCCAGGACATGTCAGTTGACCACTAAGCATTTATTAATTACTATGTGCCAGACCAGAAGTGGGGAACCTGTGGCTTTCTAGATCCTTAAGTGCGGCCTTTTGACCGAATCCAAATTTTACAGAAGAAATCCACATGGATGGATTGGCGTGGAATCAGGAAGGATGCAGCCCAGACTCCTGTGGTGATGACTGAGGCTCAAATAAGATGAGGCCAGCATCCTTGCCCACCTAAGATACTCCCATCCTGGGCCAGTAGGGAATCCTCAGTAGCAAGGACAAACTGGGCCATGGTCAGTATGACATTTAGCATTCAGTGTGTTTCACTGTGTTCTCTCTGATCCTTTGAAAGTAGATACACCAGATTCAAGTCCTGGCTCCTGCCACTTACCACCTGTTTGGATTTGCTTCTGAGCCCTGTATTGCCTTATCTGTAAAGGGGGGATAATATTCCTCTTACTACCTGAGACACACGATTATTTGGGGAGAAAAGTTGCTTTGTAATCATGCAACACTACAGAAATTCAGGTTGTTAATAATTCTCATTTGAATGTGACTCAATTCACCAAAATGTTATCAAAGGTCTACTCTAAGCCAGGTAGTCAGCTAAGCCCTAGAGTCACAGACCCATAAATGAAACCTAAGCCCTGTCCTCAAGCTCTTCCATTATGCTTATGTATACCGCATTATAAACAGAGAAGAAACATTAACAACTGGGGAAATCAGGGAAGGCTTACCGGGGGAGAGGGCACTTGAGCTGGGCCTTGAAGGCTTCTGAGTGGTAGAGGTGAAGAGTTTATTCCAGGCACGGGGGATGGCATCTGCAAATACTTGGAGGTGCTGAGTTCAGGAAATAGCTGGTCGACCAGTGGGCTGGTAATCCCTAGCTGGTAGGAATAAGAGGGCCATCCCCTCCTCTTAGGGAAAGTTGAGTCCTCTGAATACCTGATTCTTGTCTGTGAGGTAAACATGAGTTTGCTGGATATACCAGGAACGATTAATGCCATGCAGACTGAGCTCTTGGGGACTGGAAGAAGGGGCAAGAGGGCGCTGTGTGTAAGCTTAGCCACAGCACTCCCTGGCTTCAGCCTTCAGGACCTTGGCCCCCACTGGAGAACAGTAGTGCAGTGGGGAGAGAGCCAGTGCCCGAGTCAGGACTGGCTGTGTGATCCTGGACAAGTCTCAGCCTCTCAGGGCTTCCCGGTCAAAGTTGTGTAATTTGATGTACTATCTACAAAGCACTTAGCACAGTGCCCAGCTCATAGTGGGCCCTTAATTCATTCTTATTCCCTTCCCTTCCCCAGAACAGTTGCTGAGCTATATTGGTAAAGGGAACTTCCTTACTGGGAGTTCTCAAGATCTGAGAGGACATAGAGGTCATTGAGTCGAACTCCCTCATTTTATAGATTAGGAAACTGAGGCAGACACAGGTTAAGTGACTTTCACAGAGTCTAAGGTGGGATTTGAACCCAGATCTTCCTAGTTCCAAGTCCAGGGCCCTGTCTGCTACATTAAGTTGCATCCTATCTTCCACTAATGAAATTGAAGGTCTAGATGATAAGGGAAAAAAAAGTGTCCTCTGTCCTGGGACAACGAGCATGACAGAGGCCACTTGTTGGCTGGTTCGAATGCCCTTCTACCCTGTTCACAATGGGGAGGCTGGGCCTGTCTGACCATCCCCCTTTCCTGGCAGGAGAAACATTCCTTCCCTACTACACTGGCCGGGCCATCGATGGCATTGTCATCCAGAAGAGCATGGACCAGTTCTCCACGGCCGTGGTCATCCTATGCCTCCTCGCTCTTGGCAGGTAGCTGGCTCCCCCTCCCACCCCACCCCACTTCCCAGAGCCTGTGGTCTTCTCGTTTTTAGGACTGGGTCCTGATGGAAACAGTAGGACCTTCTTGACCGGGAAGCCCTTTGAGGGGTTCTCCGTTGCCCAAACCTGGTGTCAGATGGAGAGAACCTGCTTTGAGATCTAACCTGTGACTTTAAAGTGGGTCCCTTCTGGGTGAGGGAGAGAGAGGGGAGGAACAGAATCAGTTAATGAGATTTCCATTGGATTGGATTAAATCCACCACAGCTCATGGCTCAGACCAGGGTTTCTGAACCTGGGTTCCATGAACTTGTCTTTAAAAAATATTTTGATAACTGTATTTCAATGTAAGGACTTTCTTTTTTTAATCCTATGTATTTAAAAACCTTGTTCTGAGAAGGGGCCCATAGACTTCCCCAGACTGACAGAGAGGTCCAGGACTCCAAAAAAGGTTAAGAATCCCTAACTTTGACTCGTTTTTAAAAATGGCCACTTTCTGGCTAGTCCTAGTGAAGTCTTTAGTCATGGCTTATTAAATGGGCTAGGCAGAAACTGTTCCCAACTCAAGATACTTGTGTCCAGAATTAATGGTCTAGCATGAGGCTAGACCCAGATCACGAGGTCTAGGCCATACTCATTCCTGTCCCCTGTTGGAAGTAGCCAGATGTGTCTTGTTCTAGGGGATTGAAGGAAGGATGGGGTGTGACCTGTGTCCACCTTTGGTGCTGGAATCAGAACAGGTCTGGACTGGCTCCCCAGACTGAGCTAGGCCTGTTTTCATGTTGTTTTGTGGAAGACGAGTTTGCTTCTCCCTTTTTCTGCCATCCTTGCTTGTATTTCTTAGGGACAGAACAAGAAAGATAGAAAATTTCCTATGAAATAATAGTCTTGTGGTCCTGAGGCTGTGGAAAGAGTCCTGGCTTTGGAGCCAGAAGACCTAGGTTCAAAGCCTAGCTCTGCTCCTTCCCACTGGTGTGTGACTTTGGGCAGGTCCCTTCTCTCTGAGCCTCAGTTTTCTTATTTGTAAACATGAGTACATTGGACCAAATGGCCTCTGCCTGAAGTCCTTTCAGACTCTATAACTATGATCTCATTATCCCTCCAGCTTCCCCTAGGTTCTTCCAAAACTATGGAATCCTGGACTTCAAGTCAGAGGACTTGGGTTCCAGCCCCAGCCCTGCCACTCATTGCCTACATGATCTGGGGCAGATCATTCCCCTCTCATCTATAAAATGAGCAGTTTGGACTAGGGATCTCCAAGAGCCTTCTGCATCTGTGATTTAGGTGGACAGACTAGAAAACTCAGTTGGAGAGTTTCTTAGGGGAGATGGGCAACCCACGACAGTCGAGAAGGTTGGAGGGAGTGCCGAGTTTGGGGAGGACAGTGCCCAGGCCTCCTTAGCCCTAGGAGGTCTCCCAACCCTGCCTGTGGGGAATGGGATGGGGGAACACTAGCCTGGCCCCACTCCCCTGCGTCATCGGGGTTTGCTGGATCTCAGTGCTGGATGGACATTTTTCCTTTAACATCTCTCATCTGCAATTAGCTCATTTGCCGCAGGTATTCGGGGCGGCATTTTTACACTCATCTTTGCCAGACTCAACATCCGCCTCCGTAACTGCCTCTTCCGCTCCCTGGTATTGCAGGAGACGAGCTTCTTTGACGAGAACCGGACAGGTTGGTGCCCCCAGGGCCCTTGATTCCTTTTTTGGGCCCAGAGCCTTTTGGGAGTGCCGTGGACATACTAGTCACACAACCAATATTTATGTAATGAATGAATGAGGAGGAAGGAATGAATGGGGTGGGGGGGGTGAAGGAATGAGGAGAACTGAAGGAATAAGTGAATGAGGACTGAAG